GAAAAGAAAAAAAAGCAAACCAGGGCTTTACCGTTCCTTCACCTTGGAGATTTGATTTAATTGGTCTGGTCTGGTGCCTCCAGATGATTCCAATGTGCAGTTAGGCTGAGTAGCACCTTGTTAAAAAAAACTTGAATATTCTGAGTCATAGAATTACTATGAATGCCATGTAAGGAGAACTAGCTTTAAAAATTAAGAAAAAAACACCGTACTTTACCCTTATCCTCGACTTTGTTTCAGAAGGAATGTTCATATTTTTCATGTCTAAATTTCATTAATATCATAATCACTGTATAATACAGAGTGGCCATAAAGTTCATGTGCAATTTACAATACATGGACTTTGTGGCCACCTTGTACATTTAGAGCATAAAAGGTTGGCTGAATCTGTTTTATGATGATTCTAAAGTTAGTCTTTAATAAATAAATAATTTTTTCATTTGTGTCTTTTTAATAATATAGTATGTATTATAATGAAAATAAAGTTCTGTTTTTAAGCTTTCTAGTATGTATTTGGTAAAAATCAGACTCAGTTATAAATAAATAGCAATATTTTAAAAATGAGTAAAAATGAGCGATTGTAACCAGGGATGGGTAGACCCTGGTAAATCCCAAGCACATTTGAGTATTTTTTTTCCCTTTTGATTCAATTTAGCTTTGACTTTTGATAATAGAGTGCTTTTGTTAAAATCTAAGAACAAATCTAATGTATTTTTGGCTTTTTTTTCTTTATAGGCTTTGTTTGAGTATATCTTTCATCATGAAAATGATATTAAGACTGTAAGTTTAGAATTCATGCTATTTCCTTTTATTGTAACTTTTCTGACTTTGGGAGTTTAGATTCTGAAATGTCTTGTTTCTTACCTTACGAAAAGATAAAATTGTTAAAGATCAGAGTACTTTCAGTTTCAGTGGGAAAATTTGTATACTTACAGGATTGATAAGAACTATGTCTGGTTGATAGACTATGTCAATCACAAAAGGGCAAGATACGGATAATTGAGAATATTAAGTAACATGCTTATGTCTAAGTTTAGTTTTTATAAGAGTGGTTAGTATTATTGATCTCTTTTTTCCTTTAGTTCATATAGGATATTATAGGTTTATTAATAAGTGTATGTGATTTTTTTCAGTGTGCCCTCTCCCCT